TTTCAGCAGTTGTGATACTTTTTTTCAGGATTTTTTGATGAATAGAAAGCTCAAAGGAGCAGCATGAAAGATAATGTAAAATATAATGATATGAAATATGGTGTAAGATGACCTCGTGTTAATGTTTTTCCTCCTATAGATAACTTGTCCAGGGGTGGTGTTACCATCCCAAGAAGACATTTATGTGAGTGTTCGGATAATGGGCCAGTATCAGAAGTCCAAGTGTGTTCCTCCAGTTTTCCCTCTGCTGCTGCATGAAAAAATGGTGTTTGTGAAGGTAAGACTTTATTAAAACGCCTTTGATTCAGTTCAACCTGTGACACATGCTATCTTACCGTCTGATTTCTTTTATTTTGTTTCTCTTCGACAGACCTTTGTGGGAGCAGTTGACCTGGGTGCTGTAGCTGAGCATCTGGAAAGTAAGAATCCTTTGGGCTGACTTCAGTTTGTCCTGTGTTCTTTCATAAACCTCAGATCAATAAACTTATATACCTTTCCATCATGTTTTTTTTCCTCTGCTGCAGATGATACAACATCTTTAGAGCTCATTCAGCTCATTCCTCCAGGTAAGATCTCACATCCATTCCAGCTGTAACACTGACAGATATTTGAGGCTGTAGATTGAGTTCTCCAACATAGCGCTGTAAACCGAAAACATTACATTTGAGCTCAGCTTTGATTGAAGGCTCCAGCTTTTGCTGTTGACGCAACGACCGAATTCTCAGACCTGCTAGTACAATTTCAAAAATGAACCAATATCAGCAGGGGAATACATACATTATTGGACCGAGCACTCTCATTACAGTATGCATAAATCATGCTGCTTTCAATGAAACCGCTTTATTACCCCGAAACAACTTGATTACCCAGAGCTGTCAAGAAAAATGGATAGAATTCAACGTTCCATCATGTATTTTTTATTTGACTGTGCAGAGGGTGAGATCCTGGCCACATTTGAAGAAGACACCCGGGAGTTTCTGTATCCAGGCCCTCGTTTGACTCCCAGAAGCCCCGGCCCAGAGAGAGAGATTCTGATGAAGAGATCCATCTCCTTGCCCGTGCGTGTGTCTTCCTCTCAGCGTTTTTGTCATATCTCTGAT